CCCAGTGGATATGAATGAATGATTTTAGTTGCATGCAACGGATTACGGGTTGACCCGAGTTTGAAAGTCAATTTCTAAAAGTATGAAATTTTCCTTCTACTATGGTAGCTCATTTTAACAGCTTTCCTTTTCTACCATAGAAGTGATTTTGTGATGAGTTATAATGTTTTGAGGTTAAGGGTTCTTACAAATCTAAGCCCAATTTCAAAAAGGGCAAGAAGCCCCAAAAGAAAGGGAAGAAGGGCGGTCCTCAATTTAAAAAGGGCAAGAAACAATTCAAGAAGAAGGGAAAGAAAGGCAGGAAGAAGAAGCTGGACCTGAAGAAGGTCAAATGCTTCGCCTGCCAACAGATGGGCCATTTCGCACGTGACTGTTCCGAACAGGCTGAAAGCGAAAAGGTATTAATGAATTATGTGAATTCATATGTTTCATATGTTTCTAGTACTATTTTTCTAACAGAACCTGTTTCTTCATCTTGGATTATAGACTTAGGCTCCACAGACCACGTAAGCAGGGATCGAGGATCCTTCATGGAATACCGTCGGTTGCCGTATCAAAGCAAGTGGCTTTACATTGGGAACAATGCGAGAATCGAGGTTCGAGGCATTGGCACCTGCAAACTTGCTTTGCGTGGTGGAAAGACCTTGATACTCCATGATGTGCTTTATGCTCCCGACATCTGACGGAATTTAATTTCTGTTATTTGCTTAGTAGACTTTGGGTTTAATGTTAATTTTCATGGCAAAGTTGCAGACATTTTCTTCAACTCAGAACTTTATGGTTCAGCATTCAGATTCCAAAAATTTTTTGTTATGGATCTTACTTTTGGTTTTAACGCTCATGATTGTTTTGCTATTTCTTCAAGCAATCTAATATGAATATCTGGCATGCTAGACTAGGACATATTAATCAAAATAGAATGATTAAACTGGCAAAAGAAGGAATGTTGGACGTAATCCCTAACATGGAAATGTCCTTATGTGAAAATTGTCTAGCTGGTAAGGCAACTAGAAAACCTTTCGGTAAGGGAACAAAAGCTAAAAATCCATTGCAATTAATCCATTCTGATATCTGTGGTCCAATGAGTGTGAGGGCGAGACATGGAGCTTGGTATTTTATTACCTTTATTGATGATTTTTCACGATATGGTCATGTCTATTTGATCTCGCATAAGTATGAAGCTCTTGAACGCTTTAGACGATACATAAATGAGGTAGAGAATCAAATGGACGGTAAAATTAAAGCATTACGTACTGATCGAGGTCATGAATATTTATCTAATCAATTCAAACAGCTTTGTGAGAAAAAAGGGATAATTAGGCAACTGACTATCCTTGGCACTCCACAACAGAATGGAGTGGCTGAGAGGAGGAATAGAACTCTTCTAGACATGGTTAGGTCTATAATGGCTCAAGCAAACCTACCAATTTCATATTGGGGTGATGCTTTGTTAACGGCAACCTTCATACTTAATCGTGTGCCTTCAAAATCAGTCGCTTCCATACCCTATGAATTATGGACAAAATGCAAACTGGATCTAAGTGTCCTAAGACCCTGGGGGTCAGCGGCATATGTTCATGATGATTCCCACAAGCATGGGAAATTGGGTCCTAGAGGAAAGAAGTGTATCTTTATAAGGTACTCTGAACAATTTAAAGGATACATTTTCATAGGTGAAAACGAAGATGGAACAGTGACTGGAATGGAATCAAGAGATGGCACATTCATTGAGACTAAATTTCCTAATAGAGGAGATGTTGACGGCACTATATCTCTTTATGAGACACAGGAACAAGTCAGTACAGAACAAATTGACAGACCAGAATCGTCTAGATGTGTCAATCTGAGTGGGAGCCAAGAAAGGTCAACACCAAGACCTGAACAAAGAAAGAAAGAAAGCAAATAGCTCCCGTCAGAAGGAGTAACAGGGAAAGTGTTCCCAAAAGACGCTTTCAAATAGAAGGCGAATCTCTCTTAGTTACTCCAGAAAGGGATGATGAGCCCCGTTCTGTACGAGAGGCCTTGTCAGGTCCTGCGAAAGATGAATGGATGAAAGCTATGGAAGAAGAAATGGACTCAATGAAAAAGAACCAAGTTTGGGTATTAGTTGATCTTTTAAAAGGGCGTAAAGCCATTGGGAACAAGTGGGTTCTCAAAATTAAAAGAAAAGTGGATGGATCAATTGACAAATACAAGGCTCAATTAGTGGCAAAGGGGTACACACAACAGGAAGGAATAGATTATGAAGATACATTCTCATGGTGACAGCTGTGGGATGTAAAAACCGCATTTCTGAATGGTGATCTGGATGAAGAAATCTATATGGAACAACCATTAGGTTTTATTGAAAATGGAAAGGAAAATAAAGTTTGTAAACTTAAAAGGTCCATTTATGGATTGAAACAGTCATCCAGATAGTGGTATTTGAGGTTTCACAAAGCAATAACCTCATATGACTTCCAAATAATAGAGGAAGACCACTGCGTCTACATTAAGCAGTTTGAGGGTAATTTTGTCATATTATCCTTATATGTAGACGATATACTATTAGCTGGAAATAGTCTAGATTCGGTGGTGGCTATTAAAGAATGGCTTTCGTTGAATTTTGAAATGAAAGATATGGGTGAAGCAGAGTATATACTTGGAGTTGAGATCCAAAGAAATTGCTCAAAACGACTACTCTCTCTTTCACAAGAGAATTATATCAACAAGATTCTTGAGTGATTTAACATGAAAGACTACAATCCCATGAGTACCCCTGTTGCTACTGGAGTGGCTTTGAGTTCTAACATGTGTCCCAAAACCGAGTCTGACAAAAAAAAGATGGAAAGAGTTCCATATGCCAGTGCTGTTGGTAGTCTGATGTACGTAATGATGTGTACAAGACCAGACATCTGCTATGCAGTGGGACTGGTAAGCAGATTCCAGTCTAACCCCGGTGAAAAGCATTGGAAAGCAGTGAAGAGGATCTTGAGATACTTAAAGGGCACTTCCAATTATGCACTGTGCTACGAAGGAAGTGACTTCCAATTATGCACTGTGCTATGAAGGAAGTGACCTGCATCTTGTTGGGTACTTCGACGCTGATGTAGGCGGAGATGAAGAAGAATGAAGGTCAACTTCAGGTTATACCTTCTTGCTCAACAATGGAGCCATATGTTGGAGTAGCAGGAAGCAAACGTGCATTGCCTTACATTCGATGGAAGCTGAGTTTGTGGCTTGCACTGTAGCAGTGCAAGAGGCTTTATGGCTGAAGAGATTTATAGAACGCCTTGGATTTGGAAACAAGAGTACCAATCTGGTGATGGTATACTGTGACAATACTGCAGCCATAGCCTATACTAAAGATCCTAAGTATCACAGCAAAACCAAGCACATTGACATTAAGTATAATTTTGTTAGAGATTACATAGCACAAAAGATTGTTACTGTACAATACATTTCAACCAAATATATGGTAGCAGATCCTCTGACAAAGTCAATAGGCGAAAGAGTTTTTAAAGAACATGTACAAGCCCTTGGCATACATAAAGTGTAATATGAATGCTTCATTAATGAAATTATATTTCGTTATCACTTTATGTGTCTGTCTGAAAGTATACAATGTCTAGTATGTCGTACAGGTTAAAAAGGTTGGCTCTCTCACACGGGCAACCGCCTTTGACACTCAGGTGGAGTGAACAAAGATGAGACATTTGTGTTCACCAGTAAAGCAGCAATGAATGCTGATATAGTAGAGAAGCAACACAAACTTTATGTCGCCTTGACTAAAGTGTAGCAAGTCAAGATGAGGTCCACGTTGATAAAGCTGGATCGAAGTTTGGAATCCCACTTCCATAATACCTGTAGCCAGACAACAAACTCTTCAACGTCGACATCATAACAATGAGTAGAGTTGAAGAATTTGGGTTTAGATACTGAGTGTGTCTGGACCTAAGTCTGTACGGTGTTAATAATAAATCCAAATCGACATACGCTCTTATAGTAAAAGAGTAACACCGTAGCATGTGTTTCATACCACATGTGCTGGGAAAACCGCAAAAGGGAAGCAAGTGAAAGATCCCTGCTTTATTGCTGTGTGAGTCCCAGGGAGGAATTATCCTCCTGTTGGTGTCCTTTGACTTTGACAATATCATGAAGGTATGTTTCAGTGACTGCTACTTTGGCATATATCCTATGGTCATGATTGATGCGATCTAAGGTAGTATGCTAAGAAAGCGACTGATTCATTTCAAAGTGATATTTGGGCGAAAGGAAGATTGACTGTGATATACACACCTATGCTAGTGTCTGTGACATGTCCCTTATGACATTTTGTAGTTGTAAGTGTGGATACTAGACATAAGAGAATGGTAATCTGAGTCAACCATTGCCTCGAGAGGGATTAGATTTACCATGAAAAAGTGTATATAAGTAAATCTAGGACATCTGAGGCATAATTTTAAAATTCAAGCTACACAAAGGAGAGGGTGACCTGTGCTGATCCTATAAAAGGGATTTCTAGTACAGGGACCCAAGCAAAGACGTCATGCCCACACGGTCACGGCAAAGCACTAAGTATGAAATTGAGGGAAGGTGAAGAGACTAGACCCGTGAAATCTAATCCACCAAGTGTGAGTGGGAGATGTAGGAAAATGGGCCAGTCCACCCTTGGTGGATTGGACCTGAGCCCAAAGTCATTTGGGACTCCAGTGTAAATAGTAAAACTCATGGGTCTTTAATTGTAATTTTCGCCCTTTCATATATTTTGCCAAAAGCGGGAACAGTTAAGACAAGGGAGGCGGTTTTCTTTTCGAAAAAGGCATGGGGATAAGTTAACTGTAGCATCAGTTTTTTCGTAGAACACGTTCGGCTTCTTTTCTCCACTTCCGCCTTTTCCCGACTCTAATTCTCATTTTTCCCCTGCCCTGGTGCATTTGCTGTGTCTCCCAGATCCGACTCCGTCACCGTGATCGGACCTCCGCGTGGCAACCTGACTTCATTGCAGACTCCAGGTATGCCCGAAATCCTTCACGTCTGATATCCGCCGCATTGGTTGATTCCGGTAGAGGCAACCGCCAAGCGGAGTCAGCGAAATTCAAGCAAGGCAATTTACCACAAAGAGCCAGAGCCGCCACGTCATGAGCACGAGCGGCCATCTCCGCCGTGGAATATGTTCCGAGCCAAATCCTGGTGTCACCGTTCAGCACACAAACCTCGCAAACCCACCTGTCTTTGTTCCTCTGTCGCACTCCTCTGTACACGGGATGCCTCGTCTCCTTGAAAACCCTCCGTCCCACTCGCTTCTTGGGTCGCTCCGACGCCAGTAACACTATTGGATCCCTGCTCAACAAGCTCACCTCCAACCAAGAAGAGGAGGAGGAAGAAGCGTCGAATGTGTCTTCTTTGAGAAGTTCCATTGGATTTGGATGAGATGTGAGACGTGAGAATAAGTACAAAGCAGATGTGTCGTGCTGGAGGGGTTGGAGAGAGTGATGGGAAGCTTGGAATAATATACAGTTTGGGTTTAAGGATGAACAAGTGGGGCCCACTAGGGGTTTGCCTACGATGACGACACAAACACGGAAACGGTTGGAGACATTTAGAGCTAGCTCCCACGGTTACCACTTGCTTTGCTTAGCTTAGCTACTTTTGTTTTTTTTTTTGGGCAATATTAGCTTCGCTACTTTTAGTGCCATCGTCGATATTTTAGATTCAGGCCACGTGGTCTAAATTCGTTGATTCTCTTTTTTGCTTTTGTGGCTACCCTGATAACCTGTTTAGTTCAATTCCATGAATAGACATTACATGTAATCCTAATGTAATTGACTGATTCAAGTGTTTGGTTGAACTGTCATAATGTAAAGAAGATTACATTTTGTAATCATGATTACCTCATGTAAATGTATCGGGATTACATAGTTGAAACTCATGAATACGGGTACAGATCTCTTGTAATCAAGTAGAAAAGATATTATTACCCTTATAAAATTTCAAATTGACTAGATTGCCCTTGCTGAAATTGGGAACATAAACCCTATTAATTGCCACCCACCATATTTTTACTGCTATCATTATCTTCTTTACTGCGGCACTAAATCGTTGCTACTTGATTGTCATTGTTCTAGGGAATCTATGGCGAGGTAAGCTCTTTGCTGTTCATGAGAATTCTCTTTCACTCTTTCTTCAATAGTTATTTTGTGTGCATTCTGTCCCGTTTCTTTGCTAGAAACAATGAACCATTATTAAATATATTGTGTGCATATGAAGATGGCACTCTTATTGAAAAGACTTGTGGACCTATTCCCATTAAACAAGAGACTTCTTCAAACCATCCGGCTAGTATGTTTTATGAATTTTGTTGCGGGTCACACCCACCAAATCAATGTTAATTGGTTAACAAATTAATATTTTTTGTTTGAATGAAAAATGATTAACTCAATTTTATTTTTTCCCTCGAAACTGTAACTTGCCTTGCAAAAGCATTTTTTGAGAAAATTTAGTAATTTAGTACATTATTCTTATCTATTCTTATATTTTTTGTAATCCAACCAAACATTTTTATATCTATATATTATCTTTTCTTAATGGCGTACTAAACAAACTCATGTAATCATCGTTACAATGTATTCCATTACACTATAATACATTGCATTACATTCTCCTAGATTCAGTGAACCAAAGGGGCCATAAATTCTTTGACTCTTTAGTCATGATAATTATCCCATTTGACGGAACAAACTTTGAAGTTAGATTATATAAAGCTTGCGCCATGAGCAGGATCAGTAATCAGCAATTTTATTTTATGATTCGAGGAAATTTTTTATGAAAAGAAATTTATATTTTTATTGATTGATATTGTCATATTGGTATCATATTAAAATTTTATAAATTAAAAATTATTTTAAGAAGCATATTTTATTATTGGACCCCTCTTATAAAAATCGATTTTGTCAATTTTTTTAAGCTTAAGGTTACAAGAAATTTGAAGAAGTTTTAAAAAAGATAGATTCAATATAAATTTCTAATGTTTAGTTACTCCATCTTGCATGAAGAATGCAATATAATGGATATGAAAAATAGGATTTAATTAAAAAAGTCTTTACATTTCTAAATTAATGATGGTACTCATTTTATATATAAAAAGTAATATTTCTTTTTATCATAACTATAGGAGCTAGTCCGTTAAAAACTTAGATGGCTTATTTTTATTTTAAATATAAAATCTCAATTAATTTTGTATCTTAAATTTATAATTTCTTTTCAAATTATCCATATTAATTACATCTATTAAGGGATAATTACAAGATAGATAATTAAATAATATATTTTTAAAAATTAATACATATTTTCAATAGATAATTAATTTAATTAATTTTTTATCTTTATAAATTAATTATTATATTTTTTGCAAGAATAAATTAATTATTATCTTCCTCATATTATAACATTAAAATATTAAACACCTGAGTGGACTCTAACTTCTTAAGATCATTGGGGACAAAAGGGAGAAAAAGAGTAGAAAAGAGAAGAGGGGGAAAAAAAAAGTCAAGGTGAAAAAAAACTATAAACTTATACCAAAAGTGTAACTACCACTGTAACCTTTTTTGATATGTAAAAGTATTCAAAAACTTGTAAAATTAGAGCAAAAATGACATCACCATTAAATTTGACTAACGATCATTACTTTTTATAGTACTGAAATACCCCTAAATAAAAAAAAAAGAACGATGTGCAAAAATATTCATAAACTTTTAGTCAAAGTGCACTAAATACCATATGTTTTTTCATAAATGCAAAAGTACCAATTATAGAGAAAATAAATTAATTTTTTCAGTTTTAGGGAAAAAAAAAGCTCTATTAAATTTTATCATACTATTATAATAGTAATAATTTATTGTTAACTTATACGTTTAATTCTCTAAGTTTATCAAGTTTTAACTTAGTTTCTTAAATATATAAAGTATATTTTGAGTTACTAAATGTTAATACCATTAGTCTCATTAATAAAAAAAATACTAACTCAATGAATTTAAACGTTAACTTTGTTGCCATGAATGTCTAAGAAATTGATTATTTCATTTTTTTTAAAAAAAGTATTATACTATTATACTTTTGAATTTCTAAATTTGCATCAATTTTTATTTTAACCTCTTAAAATTATAAAACTTATTTTTAGTCCATTAATATTTTTATATATTGAAAGATGGTTGTTGATGTTAAAAATCAGGCTACATCTTTATTAGGTTTTATTTTAAATATTTTTCAACTTACAAATTTTAAACTAAAGATTAATATTTCAATATTTAATTAAAAAGTTACCATTTAAATTTGCTAGAAGCTTTTACTGTTAATGAAACCAACAGTGTTAACACTAAAGGAATTAAAAAAACACTTTATAAATTTAAGGAGCTAAATTAAAACTTGATGTAAATTGAGAAGACCAAAGATGTATATTAACTATAAAATTATTAGTATTACAATAGTATAATAAAATTTAATAGATTTTTTTTTTGCTAAAACTAAAAGAATTAATTTATTTGTATGGTCATTGATACTTTTGCACCTGTGAAAATATATATGGTATTTTGTGTACTTTTACTAAAAATTCATAAGTATTTCAGCACCTTCATCTTTTTTGTTTTCTTGAGTTAAGGATAATTTGGTACTTTTATGACATTAGTATGGACCCCACTACAAAAAGTAACAGTCATTTGTCAAATTTAACCTGTGTCATTTTTGCTCTGATTTTTTAAGTTTATAAGTACTTTTATACATAAAAAAAAAAGTAATGATGGTCCCAACGAAAAAAAAAGATTATAATGATAGGTGCACATTTGATATAAGATTATAGGTATTTTTTAACCTTAATAAACAAAAGAAAACAAGGAAACATGGTGGGGAATCAGGGAGGTGAGGCTGAGAGGATGACACTTGGGAGTTGTGAGACAGCTGTGGACCACTTGTTGGTTTATTTTGCGAACAAGAACGGATTTCCAAACTTGAAAACGTGTCCGTACTTCTTTCCATCCGACGGCCGTCACTCCCCGACTTCATTGCCACGTGTCATCCTCATTTTCCACAGCAGCCCCCAAGCTTTTGAACTCATTCTCCCACGTGTCCTTTTTTTTTTTTTTTCTTTTTTGGTCGCCAGCAAACAGAAGGAGATTTCACTGAAGGTAGGGGCTCCCACTGTCCAACACTATTTTATATACCATAAACAAATTTACACGTGGCAGTAAAAATAACAGTATTTTATTACCGATTTGTCAACTCACGTTGCTCCCTCCCTCCTTTTCTATAGAAATAAGGTAATTAAATATTTCAAAATTATGAATGAAAAAAAGGCCCAGTACCTAAAGTTTTTTTTTTGTTTTTATATGTTCTGAAAGTTTTATTTTTTAGTATTTTTATATTGAATTGTTATCCACTGTTAAGTGTGGTCGTATCAATTAAATCTTATATTTTAACGGTCAAACTTAATAGCAAATAATAGCCATGGTTTTTTTTCTACAAAAAAACTTTCAGGATGTTTAAAAGCCCGAAAAAAAAAACTTTCAAGTGATAGATATTTCTTTGTAGATATTTTTAGAATATTTAAATGCCCTATCCTTTTTTATAAGAAACAACAACGATCCTTTTTTGTCCCTAAATATAAGCAATATTTATAAGTGGTATTAAATTTTTGTAACAAATTTTCTATTTTATCATTATTAATTACTTATTTTAATACTCAATATATTTATTATTTCATTTCTCAAACCATGATCTCTCTCCATCACATATTTTCTCTCTTTCATAATTCTTTTTATTATAATAATTTTTTTATTTCCTTTCTTATACTCTATCTTCTATAACTGTTTTACCCGTATGATTTAGTTCAAGGTTGCTTATAAAAAAAGACGGGGCATCCTCTTAATCATCTTCTCTCTTTCTCTTCTTCTAGATTTACCAATAGGTATTTAAATGACATATTACTCTCTTTTTATTTATAAACCACTTATATCTCAATCCCACAAATTAAAAAATACATTAAATTGATAATTATTTTTTCACATTTGCTCTTATTAAATAAATGACTAAAGTATGTATTTAATCCTTTCACTTTATACAAGATTTTAATTTGATCTCCTACTTTAAAAAGTATGAACTTTTTTTTAACAATTATAGCTGTTTTGAAAATTAAATTTAATGTGTTAATACTTGAAAATATTTTATCAACATTCAGTATTTCAATATCATAATTTTTTATTATCAATTTTTATAGTTAAATGACTAAAACTATATTTTTTAAAGATAAGAGAAAAAAACTAAAACTTTGTGTAACATTAAAGGAGTAAAAATATATTTTTGCATTGAAGAAAATGTATTAAAAATATGCTTTATATTTTCTCACACCTTTCTACTTTATTTCTCTTTG